AGATACTTTGGTACTTCCGGTTTATAAAATGTCACTTCCGGTCTCATATGATAGTTTTATTCACACTGATTTTTTAAAAATATATAGTTTGTATATACTTATGCCTGTAATAAGGGAGATAATATGCTACTTCCGGTTTACAAAATGTCGCTCCAGGTCTCAAATGATAGGTTTATGTATGCCCATTTGAAAAAAAATATATGATTTCTAGGTATTTTTCCATGAAATAATAATAAAAATTCGGTCGTGTTATGTTTTTTTTTGGAAAATCGTCTACTCCGATACCACCTTGATTATCTCAACCAAACTTATCCACAATCATCCTTACTGACCTTAGGGTATTACTTAAAAAGTTAATTGCGAATACACGATCGGCATAAACATGGCTGTCACGGCAAAAGAAAAAAATAGGGGTATAATGTAAATAATCGTCAGATATCTTCAAAACCGTAACAAATGTAGAAAATCTGACGGGACAAAAATAATCATATATATATGTGTCAAGGTCTGCCTACCTTCTAGTTAGACTAAAACTGTCAGACGAGTCATACAAAGCGTTATCGCAAATGAATGTTTTGTTTCGAACAATTCTAGTCTTTTTTGTGAAACTATCATATATATAAATATATAGAAATGTTTACAGCAATAATAAACAGCAATATACGTTTGATAAATAAATCAATATGGTGAATATCGTTTTATTCAATTTTAAATAAGAATCTTGATTTTACCCAGTCTTTGCTATGCTTATCTATCTAAAGATGCAAACGATAGACAAACACCAGTACAATGCCAAAATTATCCCCAATACAAGATCTTTAAAAAGTCACATGCTTGAAATCGTAATCTGAATCCTAATATAAGTTATTAGCTTTTTACATATTTAAAAAAGGAAATTTTCGCACATTATCAATTATCTTGAAAAGTACTGTGATAGATAGACAGCATCAATTGAAAGCATTATACAATCTGCTGATTCGTGTAACGGTTAAAATAATTATTTTTAACGAGCGTTTTGTCTACTCACTGAAAAAACTTCTTGGTAGAGAGAAAGGGTAAACAGTACAAATGATAGAGCAATACAAGATCTACAAGAAGTATAGTTAGTGCTTTGGTACTGACATGATTTATAACGTACTTAGGCAATTTAATTCCCCGTTAATAAGTTAATTGAGATTTGTTTTAAAAAGTAATGTTCCAACTCTCTAAGGCAAAATTGACATTAGATAGATATCGCTATTTTCAGGCTCCTTTTTATCATATAGCTCTTATATTCCGGTAATAATACATTATTCGCTTTCATTGTTTTATCAAGAATCCAACCCCTGTAGTAACAACAGTGATGATTCACTCATGCACTACGTAGAATCAAACCCTTGTACTAACAACAGTGATAATTCACTCATGCACTACGTAGAATCAAAACCCTGTACTAACAACAGTGATAATTCACTCATGCACTACGTAGAATTCAACCCTTGTACTAACAACAGTGATAATTCTCTCATGCACTACGTAGAATCATACCCTTGTACTAACAACAGTGATAATCAACTCATGCACTACGTAGAATCCAGCCCTTGTACTAACAACAGTGATGGTTCACTCATGCACTACGTAGAATTCAACCCTTGTACTAACAACAGTGATAATTCACTCATGCACTACGTAAAATTATACCCTTGTACTAACAACAGTGATAATCAACTCATGCACTACATAGAATCCAACCCTTGTACTAACAACAGTGATAATTCACTCATGCACTACGTAGAATCCAGCCCTTGTACTAACAACAGTGATGGTTCACTCATGCACTACGTAGAATTCAACCCTTGTACTAACAACAGTGATAATTCACTCATGCACTACTTAAAATTAAACCCTTGTACTAACAAGAGTGATAATCAACTCATGCACTACATAGAATCCAACCCTTGTACTAACAACAGTGATAATTCACTCATGCACTACGTAGAATTCAATCTTTGTACTAACTACAGTGATAATTCTCTCATGCACTACGTAGAATCATACCCTTGTACTAACAACAGTGATAATCAACTCATGCACTACGTAGAATCCAACCCTTGTACTAACAACAGTGATAATTCACTCATGCACTACGTATAATTCAACCCTTGTACTAACAACAGTGATAATTCACTCATGCACTACGTAGAATCCAACCCTTGTACTAACAACAGTGATAATTCACTCATGCACTACGTAGAATTCAACCCTTGTACTAACAACAGTGATAATTCACTCATGCACTACGTAGAATTAAACCCTTGTTCTAACAACAGTGATAATCAATTCATGCAATACGTAGAGTCCAACCCTTGTACTAACAACAGTGATAATTCACGCATGCACTACATATATTTCAACCCTTGTACTAACAACAGTGATAATTCACGCATGCACTACGTAGAATTCAACCCTTGTACTAGCAACATTACAGTGATAATTAACTTATACCATACGTATAATCCAATTCGTGCACTAACAACAGTGATAATTCATTAATGCACTACATAGAATTCAACCCTTGTACTAACAACAATGAAAATTCACTCATGCACTACGTAGAATTTAAGTAATATAGATACAATGAATAAGCGTTGATTCTTGTCCTGGAGGGCAAATGGTTTGTTGTTCATGAATCAACGCTTATTCATTGTATCTATAACTTAAACTATTGTGTTATTGTCTTTTCAAAATTAAAGCCTTTTCTTAATTAGAAGGTATTGTAAGTGAGTTTAAATAAGCATGGTATAATGTTCAACGATGCATTTACTAAATATAAGATCACAACTAATTGGTTAGAAAAATACAAATATAACACAACACGTCTGCCTATAAATTATCAGGCATCTGAATATTATCTGTGTTTACAAAGTAAGATATATTCGAACTTATATCTTATAAAATTGAGAATGGAAATGGGGAATGTGTCAAAGAGACAACAACCTGACCAAAGAGCACATATAAAGTATATATAATAAATATGTTACTGAAATTTCGAGCAAGAAGCCTAATTCTAGGCACATCACGATTTACTCGCATAGGAACTTGCGAATAAACATTTGTAAAATTATGTAGTAAAACAGATGAAATCTTACTATATTTATAAAACAAATATGGGCAAATTGAATGTAATCATTTTCGTTTTCAATATGTGAAATAGCCAATAATAATAATAAAAAAACGGTAAAACTCGCTATTTTTACAAAAATATCCACAATTACATACAAAATAAGAAAAAAACAGAAAAACTAAAGAATAGGGACAACAAAGAGAATACAGGGATTCGAACCTTAACCGACAAGTCCCTACCTTTAACTTAACTCTTTAACTCATTGATCTTAACCATGCTAACCTCACGGCTACCAACTTATACTATACGATTGCCTATTATGTATATATAAAGGGACAAGCCCTGTGTGTCCGTTGTACCAATGTATATCATATGTTTATTGATAAATATAAAGTAGACATTTAAATTGTAACCAATTGGTAGCCGAGAGGTTTCGTCAATATGTTGATGTCAGTCACACATAAAAGATTTCAAGGACGGTTCGATTCCCAGTGAAGGCATATACAAATTACAAAAATTAAAGGTAGGTTTTCAAATAATTCCATTAGTGAACAGAAATCAGTAAATTAGCTAATTCAAACTTAATGAAATTAGGCACACAAAGGAAACAATTGAATATAATTTGGTGAATCCATCTCAGCGACAGATTTAGAAAGCGTTGATTCTAGAAAAATAATCCACGGTAAATGAATAGGCTGACATCACGACAATGGTTTAACCCTTGTACTAGCAACAGTGATAATTAACTTATACCATACGTATAATCCAATCCGTGCACTAACAGCAGCGATAATCGACTCGTGCCATACGTTGAATCCAATTCTTGTACTGACAACAATGATAATTAAATCATTCACTACGTAGAATCATGTTCTTTTGTGTTGTTCAATCATTCAGTGAATGCACATTGTGCTGAATTGTAATTCCATGATATTTAAAGATATGTCATAACAGTTCTTGTCATACAGTTGAGAGGGAAGAGGGGAGAACTGTTAGCATATATTCTAAGGTATAACAGTTTAAAACTACGTTATGATCAGCATTTTTCTGATCAAGACTCAGAACTATTGTAGTCGTAGAGAAATAAGAGGACGCAGTAGTTACCAATTTTAATTGAGGAAATGATTAATAAAAGGATTAGATAATAGTTTAATTACCCAATACAATATTTATCGTGTCTTATTGTGAAAGTACTTTCAATGAACGTATCTGCATTTCTCTGACATATATAAAATCAATTCTAATGAAAAAAAAACCACTTTTTTTTAAAAAAGAGAAAAAAACATATTCCAGTATGTTGTATAAAAAAAAAATTATATATAAATTTTTAGAAGACAATTTTACAGTTCAAATAAGATACGCTAATTAATTCTGTGACACAAATCTATAAACTAATAAACAAAAAGTAAGTTAATGAAACCGAAGATGATACTATTAAAGTAAGAGATGAACTAAATATTCATAAAAAGTAACAACTGTATTCCTAGAATAGTGTGTTTGATATTATAAAAACTGTTCTTTAGACAGAACTGTCAGAATCAGTTCTATAATATAATTTTGAAAGAACTTCACTAAATTAGAACGGTCAAAATTTGTTCTAGGGTAGAGCTTTTAAAACATAAAATAGCCTCTATTTAACAATATTTTAAAGTAGACATGAGAACCATTGTTACTAGTGATTGTTCATATTATCTAGAACAGTTGTCCTGACAGTTTCTGAATCATTTTCACAATACATTAAAATATTGATGCCAACTATATCATTGCCGACTGATAAAACGAAAACACATTGTTATTGAAATAAAGAAAAGTAACACTTGAGTATACAATAGATGGTGAAAAACTTTTTCGAATATAATTATGATACTCGTATTATAAATTGATTGATTTTACTTACTGTTTTCCCTGTAGTAAATTGTTATATCTGTAATATATGCTGTGTCGAAAGAAAACTCAAATATCCACCATGCTCCCCTAGCCTGACCTACTTTCTCTGTTGAGCTTGAACACTTGTCTAAACTATATTCATTTGACATTGGCGGGTTTACTGCGTATTCGGGATTACCATCTACATCACTAATATAGGAACTTTGAGAACCGTTGCCGAATGGTGTAAGGTTAACTGTAATATAAGAATAAATACTAATAATTAGTCATAAAAATACTTTCATTTTTCATGTAAATATTTAAAAAGCTTTGTTGTTAATGATGGTGATACCCAACAGTCCCTGAAATTTAGATGTTCTTTATTCTTAGATCCTTGTTTTCAGGTACATTGCACACATTGTTCCCATCTCGGCTTGCAACGGTACCTTGTTTAATAAAGGGAAAGATGTCGAAATGGTAGCTCTAAATCTTGAGATATGAATGTCACTGAATTGTATTTTATAATGCACTTTAATTACAAACAAATCACTATTAATACTAGTGTATGTACTAACGTCTGTATACCCAGCATACGATTGTAAAAGTGAAATTATGTTTTCCGTTCTGTCTGCTGCGTCCGTCATTTTTCCGCCCTTCGTTCTTCTCGTATCAGGTTAAAGTTTTAGTTAAGGTCGTTTTAGTCGTATCAACTTCAAACAAAGTACAAATGTTCATTATTATACAAACTACTATTATTTAAGTAATATCCAAATTACAATGTTGACCACAATGTCACATTCCCATAAACATGGAAGTATGATAGTGAAAACGGGACTACGCGTATTCTTCTTATACTGCTAGGACTGGCATTTGCACGGATTTTTGAACATGGTCACAGATTTTTAATATTCGTATGTTTTCTTGCATTCTTAAATCTTTCCTTATCGGTATATTCTTTTGCTGACGTGGATAAAAAGTACCTTTATTGAATAGGGAATATTGTGCGAAAGTTAATACCCACTTTTTCCTCAGTAAATGAAAAGTCCAATGAGAATTATGACTCCAAATTTATGAAAAAAAATTAATGGTGTTACTAGCAAGCAGAACTTTTCTAAAAAGTAACAATAACATTTGATTTTGATGAAGACCAAATAATCAGGTTCAATTCACGCTGCATGAAAATGTTCCAAATTTTACTGAATCTTTGAATTGAGAGCAAAACATCATTATTTCTTATTGATAGATATAGACGTTTGTTTCAGCGATAAAACTTAAAATTGTTTTCAAACCATTCGCAGTTAGATACTGTCGTAACTTTTGCAACAAAAAGATGAAAATATTGTTGAGTATTTACATTCAGATGTCTTGTTTTTTTTTGTGTTGTTTGATTGCTGTTTCATTAACGTATATCCCACATCTCGTTTGATACATATTCATATAAAAAAATTAAGTAGAGTGAAAAAAAAGAAAAAGTACAAACATTAAGTTTAGAAATAAGTATAGCAATGTGCGTATGTGTAAGTGTAAATAATTAATTAGAAATTGACATTGTATGTCTTTGGTATGATATCACCTTATACTATCAAGTAATTATCATATATCGTTCAAAATGTCCTGTCGGAAAAGTCACCATATGATAGAATAACAGAAAGAATGTAAAGTTATGTAATTTGATAAGTATTCAAAAGTTCGAAATAATATTTAATTTTCTAATTAATGTACCAAATACCAAAATTTGAAAATCTAAAGTTTCATTACATGGACCCAACAATGTTAAAATAGTTAAAGATTTACAATAACGAGCAACTTGATATCAAACGGACATTCTTTAAATGACTTACGTTGTGCAGTAACTGTCAACATAACAGTTGTTTGGATAAGTAACACTGTTGTTTGATCTAACATTCCAAACAGTTTTGTGCTAACATATCAATAATGAAATCAAGTGACATAGTTATGTGTGTATGTATTCAATATACAATGATATGTTATTATGTAGGATAGAAAAGTACCTTCAGTAGGTGGTGATACATTTGCAATATACCATTAAATGAAATAAAATGAAAAAGACTTAAACAAATTAAAATGAATGAATAATAAAAATATTAATAATAATACGTATTATAATGCCCATACAATACTCGAAAGATGAGTGAGTTGTCAATGAAGTTATAGACATTTTCACATCACACTAACATACCCAAACAATAAAGTATTATCAGTACAATGTACGCATTAAATCAACAAACTGCAATGACACTATGTCCTACAAGACTTTTTTTAAAGTGTTATATAATAATATAAAACACATGTACAAGTAAACCTTTAATTTTCAACTCTTACTTTTTTTTTAAACTTACTTTTAAACAACTAAAGTTTTGTACTTTACTAAAAATTTACCTTTCATGAGGAATATATTTCGTTACATTTAATGAAAAAATCGATATTAAACAGGAAGTATTTCACCTCTTTTTTATGTAATCGATATTGAAACGTAGATAAGTAAAACACGCAAATTTTTCACCGACCTTGTACTTTCATATTTGTGATCTATGGAGTTGGACTGCTGGGATAGACTTTGACAACGATTTGTTGAAATCTTAAGATGACCATCCCAATCTTTAACTGCCGAAACACTAAAGTAGTGTCGGGTCCTATGAGGCAATATGGAATGCGTGGTTGCATGGGTGTTTTATAATAATAAAAAGAACCAGGTGTCAGAAACCTACAAATGGCAACAGGTGACAATTGCGCCAAGCAATTGTTTCGCTCTTATAAAAAATAACCAAGATTGATAAAACAATTTCATATTTAATAGATAAAGAAAATAAAACACAAACATCGCGGTATCTCTTTATGAAATGTAATCCTTTAATATTCAATACATTTTCATACTCGAACTTCACTTAAAAAACATAATGTTTTGTTATTATAAAACACCCATGCAACCACGCATCCCATATTGCCTGAAAGGACCCAAAACTACTTTATTGTTTCGGCAGTTAAACCTTGGGATGGTAATTATCTTAATATGCATTATTTAATATAATCAAATATGAAAATTATTCATGTATAATACAAAGTAACAACAATTGGTCAGCACCTCATAAGGAACATTCATGCCATGTTTGGTTTCATTCCATTCAGTGGTTCTATAGAAGAAGTTCAAAATGTAAAAAGTTAACGACGACGACGACGGACAACGGACGCCAAGTGATGAGAATAGCTCACTTGGCCCTTCGGGCCAGGTGAGCTAAAAAAAGGAAACAGCAGCCTTGAACTGATTTTTGGTGTAAGATCCGAGCAGAATTTTATTGTATTAGTTCTCTCAGTTTGAATTTCATGTTCATGTTCATTTATCCCCTCTTTGCACAACGCCTCCCATCCCAACGAATCAATCACTGATTTGTTATAAAAAAAAATAGTATACTAATGAGACGCAAGTAGTATAAATGTGCATATTATAAATGGTACTTTTGTTTTTGTATATCTAGTTTTTACAGCTATTTCTTTACACAAAATATTTTTTCTTCAGATATTTTAGATTATGTTTTTTTAGATCCATGCTCAATAACCTCCACCCTCTCCTATAGTAATGAAAAATGCCGTAAAGAGTGTAAAATGTAAGAAATATAAAGGATAGTAGCCATGGTGGCAGCATAAAACAATTTAGATATTTATTTGTCAGCAGATAGTAATATTTTGTCTTCTTTACTCGGAGTTCAGTATTTTTGTGATTTTACTTTTTACTAGGTTCTTTTGTCATCAAAATAAAAAAAAAACACTGTATTTGTTCCTTGTCCATATCTTGTATATTTTTTTTCCTCTGCCATTATCATTTGCTTGTGAAATAATGTGGTTAAATAGTTGAATAAAACTGTTCACTTAATTTGATTTTTGTTATTATTGATAATCCCTGAAATCGTATTAGGGAATTTGTAAAATAATAAGTAAAATGTTCAGTGATTATGTAAAATCACTGGTCAATATCAGGAATTATATATAATCACTAATGAGTTTAGTGATTCTACATATTCCCTGAAAAATCAGGGATTCTACATAATCACTGATTATACAAATTCACTGTAACATATATATTGATATATTCATATTTTAATTATTCATCAATAGATCTAGATAGTATGACAGGTCTGCCATCATCAGGGGCACAATCATTATCAAACTGCAATAAATGCCAGTGTTTCATGATACGTTTTTTTTATTTTACGTATATATGGGTTATGTTTAGTTATTCAAACTAACGGAATATTTTCTGTTTCCTTCAATTTATTTTGCTGTAATAATTCAGTATGGGTAATTGATAAAGCATCAGTAATACTATCATCTATTTCGACGTTATCATAACCCCTATCTAATAATTTCACTTTGACATTAGTTAGATTGTTTATCAATTTGTTATGGTCACTTGCGTTTCTAATCTGCCGTATTTCTTCACCTTTAATAAATCCTCGGAATACATGCTGTGAGTGACAGCTATTTCTATGCAGATAGAGATAAGAATTTGTTTCTTTAAAATGTATTTCAAGGTCAAGAATGCTATGTGTTGTAAATCTTTGACCTTTAATTACATCAACATCTAAGAACGACATTTTATCGTTTGAGATTTCATAGATGAACTTTAATAAGAGGTTATAATTATTTGCAGGACGAAACAATTCTGTAATATCATCTGATGTTCCATCATATATTATGAATCCATCGTCCCTATATTTGCTATGACAGAATATTTTATCTTTATGTTGAAATGCAGAAATTATTTGTTTCATTATTTCGAACATAAGTATGTCACATATTTCCGGTGAAGGGATTGCACCAATTGCCGTACCATTATTTGTTTATATATTTTCCCATCAAAATCAAAAATATTGTTTTCTAAAATGATTCTCAACAGATGTAATAATACATTGACCGGCGGAGCTTTGACTTTGAAGTCTGATTTGTCAAAATTGTCATAGGCTTGTTCAACAGCATTTAATAAAGCAGCTTGAGGAAGATGAGTAAACATCTGTGTTATATCATACGAAACAAAAAGTCTATTTGCCATAAGTTTTAATTTCTCAATGATATTAATGAAAGATGTAGTATCTGTCATATATGTAGACTGATTTTGAACTATATGTATAAGAAAATAATCAACATAATGAATGACTGATAAGTTCAGGTACGGAACCACACTGTGATATAACTGGTCTGCCAGGTGGAATTACATTTAATTCATTTAATCAATCATATTGTATTTGTTTGAACGTCTCCGTCTCAACACGGTGCCTTTTTTGAAGAATATAAATTCTCCCTAGAAGTGCATCTCTTAATTTTTGACCATTTGTTTAAAATGTTAATGATATGTTGTCGATAATACATTGGTCGTTTAACGATTTAACATACTCAATGACCTGGGTTTTCAATTCTGCTATGTAAATGAATCTAATTGGCAGTAATGTTGAGTATTTAGTTGTCTTGTGACTTCGGTTATGTAGTCTAGTCTGTCTAAAATAACACAATTTGAATTTTTATCTGCCTTTTGTATACTATTATTTTATCATTTTTCAAATTGCGTAGTGCTGTTCTTTAGTAAGATTGTTTTTACTATTTGTTTCTATTGGTAGAAAAGATAATTCAAGCTGCGTTAAATTGGTATAGTATTCCAACGTATGGCACGTAGAACAGGTTTATATTCTGTATTGCTACGAAATAGATGAAGGTCAGTTTTTTTCTTGACTGAGCATATATCATTATCGTAATTTTCTAGCAAACTCAGTGTAGTCTTTTAGTATAGACATTTTTGAATTTTTGCTTGACGGCGTTGGTATAAAGGTCAAGCCTTTTGCCAACAGGATATATTCCTGATTTGATAATTTGCGTTTTGATAGATTAATTACATGATTTTTTGCATGTGCAGCTTTTTGCTGCATATTATATTCATTCCGTTCTTTTTTATTGTAGAATCAGAATTTTTGCTTTTTAGCATTTCTATTAAAACGACGTGCCATTTTTTAGTTTACATTGGGTGATTCTCTTGGCTAGGTGCCTTTGTTGAGATCACATTTGGAGGCTGAAGAATTTCTTGGTTTACACATGATAAAAACCTTGAACAAAGATCCGCCCACATTCACGTGGTTTGATAGGCGGGAATAAGATAGCAGTGAAAAATTGTCCGTGGTGATGATGTATTAATGAATCACATTTTTTTGTGGAATTTTTAAAAGAAATCAGGCCATGAAGTATTTTTAACTCAAGGCTAAAAGCTTTGTCCATCGGAACAATAAAAGACCTTTTGATAAAAGATCTCGTTTCTTTTTCCGTAGGCATAAAAACTTGAAAGACACAGTAACATCTGCAACTCTTGGTAATTAACATGTTGCAAATCATGAAAATATATTCTATACTATGTGTTTAGAAAAGTATTAGTAAAACAGATCACGAGGAGTCGAGCCCCTTATAAAAATTACAGTATTTTTAAGAATAAATGTCACCATGCAATGACTTGGGCTCCTGACGATGGACATGGCCATGGTCAATTAGTTAATTCTAATTGGTCTAAATAGATGTTCGAAACACTTTGTGATCTATGGAGGTGGGGTGCTGGGATAGGCTTTGACAACGATTTATTTATTTAATAGATAAAGAATATAAAACACAAACATTGCGGTATTTCCGAATGAAATGTAATCCTTGAATATTCAATACATTTTCATACTCGAACTTCACTTAAAAAACATAATAAAATTAACCAAGTTAAGTGAACGTGCTTGGCCTTAGTGCTAAAGGTTTGTTTAAAATACTAAATTCACATAATGACTAGAAATTTAAACGTGACCGATTACCTAATTATCAACTATATAACTAGTTGTTATTACAAAAACTAACTTCATGACGTCAAACATTCCGACTTCCGGGATAAAAAAAAAATATACTAACTGGTTCCAACTGACTTTGTTACACTAGAACATGAACCTAATCTTATGAACCAGGGACCCAAGTCAGTCAAGTAAAAAAGACATCGCATTATATCAATTCCCATTAAAATCCCGGCCCAACGAGAGTAATGTATGAAAACTATCATTTCCAATGAACGACGACTGTTACTCTAAAATATCTCTCTCAAAGTAACCATCACTATTAAAATATCGCTATTAAAATGTACCCCTTCTCATTTTAAACCCAATGATCATAAAACAACTAGCTAGTGTACAATTCCTTATATTTAGTGGTACGGAAACTGTAAATATCAATTAAGAAATGTTTGACAAACTTTAACAAAAGAATCAAATCATATTAGGTACAACTTCCCAGTACGAATGTTTTCCCCTATATAAAGAAATAATGTCCAGACGAAGTTTAAATATCCAGGTCTGGATATCAAGTCTCTAGTACGAAAAAAATATTCCCCGCGAAAATTAAGAACAACCCAGGTAAATATAATAGCTAAAAATGAAAACAAAAAAGAATTTACACGATCCATAAACGTAACAATATATTTCCCAATTGATACGATATATAGGCGTGCCTGCATTTCGTATCATGATGTTTTTCATAGAGGGTTGGACTTCACAAGGAAGCTATTAAACGAAGAGTTCCAAGTGGTAAAGTTGAAAAATCCCTTCCAAAAGCTATCATGAACTGGTTGCCCGTTTTTGAATATCTGTTTCACAGATGACGACGGATATGTTCTAATTGTTGCAGCCACAATCCCGTCTTTCTTTCCATTTACTCGAATGTGACATACAGACTTATCATTATGGGTTTGTGCCTAAATGAGCAACCTAACGGGTGTCAAACTTGGAGCAGGATCTGCTTGAATTATATTGAGCAACATGAACATCCTTCAGGAGCACTTGAGAGCATCCCCAGTTTTTTACGAAACTTCATAGTAAAAGTGGTACAGTTTTAGCCATAGAATGGGAACTTGCATTGTCTATATTTACAGAAGTGCAACCTATATGCTTAATTGAAAACATAAGCAATTACTCATGTAATTGTTAGTACAAACTCATAGACGAGAAGGGTTACACCGAAAATATAATATTTTGTCATATTGTTGTGAATTCACCATACCTATATTCATTTTTTATTATTCTTTTCCAATCTTTGTCCCCAATCTCGTACTTCACTAAAGTCTGTACTCTCTATCTTCTCACACAAACAAAAACCCTGACCAATCATATATGCATCATCAATTGAAACCAAATGCAGACAGTGTATTAAAAAAATATGACATATCTGATGATAGTTTTTGAAATCTAAATGTCGGGAAAACAATTGACCTGTATATGTTTTGTCAATGTGATTTTAAAAAAAGGGACGAATTAATGAAAAAAAAAAGGAATCTTCAAAAATTACACTGCACATTGAAAGTCCATATGATAAAGTTTAAACTGACAAAATGGATATGAACTGTCGACAGTTATATGTAGCCTTATATTTCAAGAAAAGAAAGAGAACACAATTTAAAAAGAAACTTGATCATCCTTCTTTCTTGATCGATGAAACTAGCATATATAATGTCGTGCAAAATAGGAAACTTGATGATGATTATCACATTGTCACACCAATGTAATTTTGATTTCAATAGCTCCATAATTGGAAACATAATATATGATGTGTTATGATAATTCTAATATTTTATACATTATATATAACATGTATAATGCTTTTCGACAAAAGTACATCTTATCATCGTTTGATATTTAAAAGTATCTTACTATCTGAATTGCAATCTACAAAAGGCGATCTTCCTGTTGCAAAACTATTTTTCTGTTTGCCTATTTGTTGATTTTTGTAACTGTTGAAAAAATTGACGTCGTCAGATACTTGAAAAGAGTACAGAAATCCCGATAATAATGCACAAAGGTTGGGCCAATTTGTCCATGAAAAAAGGAGTTGGTCATGTTGGTTCACAAACTTCTTATTTTGGCCCTAAACAATGAATTTATTTCAGTGCAAAAAAAGTGGTAAACATTTGATGAAAATATATAATAAGATGTCCATTTTTTTCAACTAAAACATATTTTTACCATATTTTCGTCCTAAGTGACGTCATAATGTAGAACATCGTAAAACCTGATTTTTGCTGTATTGAAAAATGAACAGTTGCCCCACTCTTCGCCCACACATATTGTTGCTGAAATATTCTGCGTTTACCATATTCTTCCCTTTGCAACAAACATTTCAATGAGCGAGGAGTGGTGCCACGTATGAAATAATGAAAAAAGGTTGCGAAACTTGGCAAAGCCAAAACCGTATGGTCAGCTCCAAAAGGTCTCGACATGACAAAAAGTGAAACAATTCAAACGAAAAATACCAAAGATCTGATTTATGACAAAACAATAAACAAATACCAACTAATTTAACGACACACAACAACCAACGACTACAACTGAATTACAGGTGACTGACTTGGGACAGACGAAGTTATAATGTAGCGTCATTAAACATGTTTGTGAGCACTCAATCCTCTCCTAACCCCACATTCCCTTTTATATCTGTACACGATGAACAAAAGGACGTAAATGAAAGTTGTATACACTTATACACTAAAATACTAAAAAAAAACAACATTTAAAAGTCATTGCGAATTAATAACAAACTACAATGACATTTTTCATTTAAAAATGTTGTACAAATTATTTATTTTAACAACATACAACAGGACCATTTCAATAAGAAGCTACAAAAAGATCTAATAAATGGTTAACTTGAACTTAACTTAAAAACGTACCTTTGATCAGGAACAGCATGATTTCAAATGTTTCATCAAACAGGCAATAATTTTGAATTGTCTTATGTTTCATTTCACATGATCAGTAAAGCACAAAAAATAGTATTGCGTGTCGTCATTTTACCTACAATTCAGTATAAGACTTGCACGTTTTGTAATGTTAACAAACCTATTGTGTTACATTTGTTTTCTCCACCCTAAAAAAAATTTAAAAAAGGGAATAATATAGGACGGAAAAATTTCTCAGGAGGCGTATCGGAATTAAGTTGAAAATGTCATAATCATTACGATATTCGTCGGTGAAATTATAATGTTTACTCATTATATATTCAGGAGGAAACATTATGTATATACATAGATATATATGTAAAGAAATTTCTTTTCATCAAAACTCCAAAATAAAATTGGAAGATTTAAAATGTTTGCCAATAAATCTTGAAATGTGACATTAGCTTAAAGTTGTTGTGATATAAGCTTAAATTGATTTACATAATATATATCTAAAGTTAATCTCGTTTATGTTGTGAAAATATTTCATTGCCTTTATAGTTCTTTTCTCGTCTGGATTAATGAAAAAAAAAAACATTTAGAACTTTTATTCTGATGATTACTTTTTGTGACACATTTCCTTTTGCAATACTGCTTTTAGAACTATATGATTTTTTAAAAAAGTTTTCTTATACCTGTTTTTCCTTAGAATTCTTTGCTGTTTACATTTTCTGTTCATATTTGGTTATCCAGGTTTATGACGAGATTCGTGTCTCGCAGTAATTTGTTTTTCTGAATGAAACAAAAGAAAAACTGCATACAAAGTCATTGATCAAAATAGAAAATACAAACAAATAAACAACAATTCACTAACACTCGACTATAAGAAACATGAAATTGAATTGTTGTTTTATTTGTTATATCTTTTCTTGTTTGCTAAAAAAATATTTTGTCATTCTGTAACATGTATTTTTCGTTCTTTATCTTATGATTTATCGCCCCTTAGTAATTTCTTTCTCATGAAAATTGTAATTGACTAGTCCTGAATATTTGTTTGTTTAATATCGATATGGTATTTTTGTATTTTTTCGTAACAGGCTTTACGCATTAAACAAGAAGGGATAAATGAAAATAGCACTAATTATTAAGTGCGTCGAAAGCTTTTTTTCTGTATGTACCTCCATCAGGTACGCTCAAACTTGAACATCTGAAAGCCAAGAATGTACATGTATAAGACCCAAACACGTGATGAGCTATATGACCAGAAGAAACATACAAAATGGCCACATTCGTCTACGTCAACTTTGATTGACGGAGTTGAAATCTTAGTTTTGATTCAAAAGTAACCAAAATTTCTTGTCTATAGGTACAAATTATTTCATTTTTGTTAAACATAATGTTTGAAGCATGTTTAAAGGAATAGACTTATTTATTATTTATAAATTTACTGCCAGTATGGGTCAATTTAAAACTGAAGATATTTGTAAATTTGCATTACCATTATTTGTTCTGCTCTTTGAAACTAGCGAAATCCGTTAACGATTGATAAATGTCCTTTAAAATGAAAATTTATGAAAACAAGCTAAAGTAAGGAAAAATATTAAAAACATACCTTTCTTTTATGCTTTTATATTTGATTGAGAGATATATTTTGATGGAATGAGAGTATTTATTCTTATTTCTTTTTCTTGTTTTGTGAAACACATGTGGACTATCTGTTTTAATCAACCTACACATTTACAATGAGGAATGCAGTGTTAATGGATGAATAGTCAACTGTTATATATGAATTATCGTATCAAGAATTATTATCGATCTAGGCAATGTTTTGGCATACACATTTAATAACTCTAGAGAAGGCAAAGTTGTTGATACCCAGTAACTTTTGCAGAAAAAATATAAATTGAAAATTGTAAACAATAGTAAGTATCATGGTCAAGACCATGAAAAATCCTCAAAACACATACATACTAACACACAGGAAAAAAATTCCCCAAGATCTCTACATTTTAATAATCTCATTGCCGAAAAGAGATCAAAATTGTTATAAAATCTTTCTACAGAGTCATTAGTTATGAAACAAAAACTTTTGAAGCAACCCTTAAACAGTTTGACAGTGATCCCCTGACTTTTGCTAATAATTCGCCAGATCTTGAGGGTCACATGCCAAAATATATTTCTAAAAAATAACAAAAACATTTAGATTTCAAGAAATTTCACCTAGAATCCAAGATTTTGATTAAATCACAATGTATATATAAACAGCTATCATGCTTTTATAAAAAGCCTACCCGAGAATACTGATATACAGAAATCCCCTTTGTTGGCCCCTTGAAAAAAAACAAAAGCATTTCCCCTGAAAGTCAATACTTAAGAGATGTCAAAATTTACAATTTCATATAGTGCATCTACTCTCAATGTTTGTTACTATGACCTTAACCCTTAACCCATTGACCTTAAAATGAAATGCATTTGTTCGTCTCAAACTAGCTTTCACTTTGATATAAACAGTGAACCTGAAGTAGTCACCTAAAAACAAAAACAAAAATGACTGCATGTTTCTTTACTTAGCAACTGTGAGCTTGTTCTATTATCTTTAAATTGAAGGGTCCTCCCCCTTCTATATGTATTCCATGTTTATACGTTTCAATTGTGGACCAACATTTGAAAATAAATACATTACATGTATGTTTCATTATAATACGTTATTTTGATTGGCTAACAGCAATCTCGCGTCACTCTGAGATTAAGCTTCATTTCAAAATGAAATGTAACATTCATGACGGCACGAGCTTCCACAATAAAGTGCACAGGTAAATAAAAGAAAAACTTGATAGAAATCGTGTTTTCATTATCTTAGCAAAAAAATGTAATTTTAAGTATTGAATGCTTCTTTTAGTAATTTTATAGGGTTGTAAAAGCATTTTTCGTGCGCACATTTTTAGAATGAAGGGCTTGCGCGCTTCATACAAAATGTACCTCAGTCAACGCTTTTACCGCCCAATGAATTTACAAATAGAAGCATTCAATTCTTAATTAAACTTTTCATGAAATTTTTTTTTTTTAAAAACCGCGTCCAGGAACTTTAACCAATTGATCAAACATGTAAAGCCTTCTCTTTTAAATTTCTTTTTCTTCAAATAATATGAATTCCGTTCTAATTAAGCTAAACTTTTCTGGAAATCTTTTTATATACAAATTTTAGTAACAGCGACCTTTTACTTTGACCTTTTGACTCGAAAATCAATAGGCTTTTCCCCCTCCTTTTATGTTTCATCGGTATAGATTTTGTTTTCATTAAATAAAGAAAACGTTGATTCCAACCGTAATGAATATGTTTGGATGGACAAACGGACGACGGACAAATCAATGACTAGATAATCCCGAAAATGTTCTTAGAGCTTAAAAAGAGTTAAGATTTCGACCGTTTGATGGCAACACTCGTTATAAATAATATCTGGCCAGTAATGTATCATAATTCCGTTAGAAACCGACTTAATCATGGTAATAAAACCATGCAGTCATGTAACTAAAGAAACACTCGAGTCTAAAATAGTATTACTATAATACTACACCTGTCAAAATACAATCAATTTTAAAACATTTGATACCAAGGTTCGTATATCTTGTTTATGAGAAATATACCTCCTCAGATCCTCAGAACTTAAAATACACGGAAATTACACCATGCACATGTCAAAGATATACAGATATAAATCAGTTATCATTTATTTGTCAAGCAATTCATTTTGTATGGTGGACATGTCACAACAAAACCTAAAAAAGCCATGATAAATAAGTTTTAAATTGAATAGCAAAATGTTGTTATAAAACCATACCGTGACTTGAACAATTATGTCGTAGTTGAGAACTGGTAGATCGTTTTATCATTCATTTGTCTCTTTTTTCTTTAAGTTGCTACATTAAACTTTTTTGTTCACCAAATACATGTTTAATTTGTAAAATAAAATACGACAAGGGTATTTTATTGAAACGATTATCATATAATTACGTTTTTGTATATGTACAGCATTACACATCTTAAATGTGTATCTAAAACGCATTGATTAGCATGGATACTACTGATTTTAATGGTTTGTTTTCTTTCTCCTAAAAAGCAAACAACATTCGAAAACCTTCCAAAACGTTTTGTATGTTTAAAACGACTGCTGGCATATTTTCAAGTCTTTTGTCTGCTATATTTGTCTTTATTGATTTATCTATCTCTTTTTGTCGTCAATGAAAATAGCAGATAATAAATTTTATGCGTCTGATGCACTTTCCTGGATTTACCTGATTTAGGAACACTCGAACCAAAATATTTGATGACAAGGGATTTGAAGAACGCAGACACATTAGGAGTTATATGATCAAAAGAGGAAACCAATAATCAATGGCAATTAATTAAAGGATGTTTTATAATCTTGATTATATTTTTTTTTTTCAAAAAGGTATCATTTTCCAAGAAATTGTCAACATTTTGAACGTTTTATACTGAGGGCATCTATATAATATTTTCGTCAGTGTCCTATAAGGCATACATTTGTAAAAAGTAGACATGAAATAATCAAATACAAACTTTAAATGCTAATACACTTCTATTATCTTTTATTGTGACTGGTTTTCCAAAAGAAGAGAGATCCCTATTCAACTTAATTCCAATCAACGATAACCCAAGTCACAATTCAACGATGAAACCAAGTTACAAGTAAAACAAAGGTATATGTAACAACACAAGTACTATTATCCTTCAGTTAATGAGTGTGGACATATTTTTACATCTATCCAGCGGTTTTTCTGATGAATGTTGAAATTGTAAAAATTACAGGTACGTGTCAATTAATTATAAAGAACAAAAAGAAAATATACCCTATAGTCCGGTCTACGATAAACAAACAAAACTTATTTTTTGACTATATAGTAATTTTTTATTGATCATTTGAGAAACAGTATAAAATCAAATTTACATGTATAAATACTATTGCAAGTATAATTTGTGTAAAAGCAATGATTTATTGCATACAATTAGAACAATGTGTATACACTCTTGCTGAGTCTTGTATTAGTAAATTGTTATTACCGCCAGTTAATGGTAAAAAAAAAAACCAACAATAGTTTTTATAAATACCGATGTGAAAAGATAATTATTTAGTCGTTCTACGGATTATTAACTCTTGCGTGGATTGGTGTTTTATTGCCTCCAACTGACAAATTTGTGTTTTCATACCTCTATATCCGAGTCATGTGAAATACGTACATCAATCTCTTTCTTTTAAAATAAGATGTCTTTACTCTTCAACCATTATCACAGCAATATGACAGCTTTAGCCGAAAAACGGGTCATAACCGACAAACACCAAAACGTTTGCGAGTTAACGTATCTTTCATTGTATATCCTTCTTCTAATCCTATTGTTTAAATGGAGTTTGTTTCCATTTGAAATATAAAAAAAAACCACAAGGATGTCAATAAAACAAAAAAAAAGGAAGTTGCATCTCAGGGATATGGAACAAGACCTCCGTTAGATATTAAAAAAAAACGTGAATACGTAGTTAAGATAATACAGTATTCGAATGGAAACAGATTCTTCCTTCGCAAGAAATTGAATTTGCCAAAACAATTCAAAAACAATTGTTCTATACAAACTCTTATAATAGGGGATGGTAAAATTGCATGAATTCCAAGTAATCGAATGCGTACGTCCGACATATTGTTGATTCTCGTTGTTTTTGTGCAAATGTATTAGAACAGAAAGATACGGCCAACAAGAGAAAAAAAAATTATGTTGTAGCCAGATTTGCTTTTCTCTAATCAAAACCATATCAGCAAAGCTTTAAGTGGAAATGTGGTCATCATCCATTAATTTCAAACAAAACACTAATATTGTCCCGTCTGAGGAACTAGAAAAAAGGATTTTAAATGGAGCAAAACGCAATGATTCACATCGATGAATCACCCACATGAGAAATACAGTGGTTTTAATCTCTGTTGGAGGATTTTGATTGATAAGATTTTTTTCTGAAGCGTAGGTGTATCACATATTGCTTTATACGTGCATGGGAGTAGAGTATCATTCTTTTTTATCAATTCGGGGAAATAAGCTTCTGCAAAGAGACAATTTATATCAGGCTATTTTTCGTTGTAATGGGAGTCGGGTAGATTTGTTGCTGTGTTTTTGCGGGTTTGAAGTATTAGGTTATTTGTTTATTTTTGGTGTATCAAACACCCTGTAAAGGTACGAGGATAAGATGCATATTCAAAGAATTTGGTAACATTTCGTAGTAAGAAATAGCTGGGTACTTTCTGTTTGGAGGGGCTTACAATATTGGAATTTTGGTCAGCGAATTTTGAAGAAGCAAGTAATTGTTTTTGAAATTTTCGTAAGTTTGCCTCATAGATTACATTGATACGATTGATTAATGATGAATGTGATACATTTAACGGAAAAAATCAGAAAAAATCGCTTTAAACATATTTTTTAGCATGCCATGTGTTTTCGATGGAAGATGTATTAGACACTTTGGAGACAAAAAGAATTAAAAAAATATAATAATAATAAACATATAAAACAAATAAAATAAATTGGGAATTTCTTTATTGCTACTTGCTTAATTTATTTAAACAATTTTAATAATATTTCAATTGTTATAATTGTATGATAGGTTAATGTTTGGTACACCACAGTAGATACATTGTTATTTATACATATACCAATAAGTCAATATAACTTGAATTGGTATGCACATACTGTAAGTAAGGAACAAGTTTTACTGTCGCATTTATTGATTCCTTCTAATACGTGAAAATTATAATCTCTTGTACATGTTGTACGGTTGTCAAGATTTTTCATTTCATTTATCATTTAATTTTTTTCAGTAACTACCTTTCGAAGCTGGTTATATGGACCGTTTGGTGATCGTATAGGACCGATTTTTTGATGCATCGGTAATAATTCCAATGTGTATTGTTTTGAAATTTGCAGTCTGTATTTTGTTTTGGTTATAGACCATGCCCTTTCCTTGATTTTCAGTACTGCTTTGTTGAAGCTGGTAATATGGATTTTTGATGATCCTTGTCCGAGTTCATTATATCAGCTATTTACGTCAAGATAACTGTTTCCATGTGTATTGTTTCCTCTTCGACTTTTTTTCATCACCCACTTATTCATCTACATCTTGCCTCCTAACAAAAAATAATTACTTACAATAATTTATAATAATACTGATGAAAGTAATTGGTTAATGCATCAATGGTCAAAATTGCCATGGTCTAATTTGACTTAGTGTGAATACATATATATATATATATATATATATATATATATATATATATATATATATATAAACAAGTCTAAATTGAAAACAACGTTCAAACCTATGATTGCGTTGGATAAAAACCGCAATTTTTATACGTGTGCATGTAAAACAAATTTCTTGGTAGAGGGGTCTAAATACAGCACAAACAACATTTTCCAAGAGACCAACAAAGTGAAAAAGTATATTTTAACAAAACGCATTTGACTAACAGGTCAAACAACGGATGTTCCTAAACCCTGCTGACTGCCATTGGCGATTGCCAAATAAATTGATCACCAGATTAACAAAATGGATCTTAATATCAATTTAATACCAAACAGAAAATAACTCAAGACATTCGCCCAGGTTTTATGTTATTGAATCAGTTGTTTTTCAAAGTTTGGTGTACTATTATGTTTCTTTTTTTGTCATTGTACTGCCTGTCTTTCAAGTCAGGAATATGACAGTTGTTATCCATTCGTTTGATGTGTTTGAGCTTTTGATTTTGCCATTTGATTAGGTACTTTCCTTTTTGAATTTTCCTCGGAGTTCAGTATTTTTGTGATTTTACTTTCCACCTGTGATTTTGTTTGGAAAAGACTTAGTTCCTAACAAATATGTGGACCTTTCTGCTACAAAAGTACATTAACATTGTTTTTGTAACCCATTTTCCTAGTCGCTACTTTAAATTTTCACGGTAAATATCCAGTTCATAAGTTCATAAGTGTCACTGTATTAAAAATAACTACCACATGCAATAATTGCAAGAAGAAATATCTTTTCTTGCAAAATGAACATCGTTTACCCACATGGTGCAATGTCCATGTTGAAGACGAAAGTGTGAAGAGAGTCAATATACGGATGATGCAAGCGAAATGTTTTCCCTCTGAATTTGTCTTCACATTGTTTAATTGTTTTTTGTATATATTTTCCTACAAGTCATGTGGCATAAACAAGGTACATGGAATGGAAGTAATAAACTTATTCATGACATACCTTGACCTATACCTAGAGACTGATCACGAAGGTCCACATGGAACAGTCTATCGTAATAGTGATGTAGACATGATTTTTCTAAATATGTATTATTATCTTTGTTAGGTATCTAGAGTTTACACATAGCAGTATAAACAAGGGTTTTTCATTATCCGGTTAAAGGTAACATTTTGAAAGTTTTACTTACATATTGTTTTTCTTCTCATCAACATGATCAAGACGATATATCTGTGTCACAAATTACAACGGATATGTGAGATATTTCTTAGTGAAAGTCATATCAACCTTTTCTTGGTTATCTATGATGAGTTTGTTTACAATTTTGTATTCTGGAATCTTACGTTTACTCAAAATGCATTGCTAAATCAAACTCACCTTCAGACATTTATTCTCCAAAGGGTTGACGGAGGTATACATACAGAACTATGTTCATCTCCTGACATCCTAATTCGGCAGTAAATTCAATGCTGAAAAGGGCGTCTTTTTCTGTGTGGGATGTATAGATAAGCATGTCTTATTGAAATAAGGCGTTAAATCCCATGTTTCGAGCAGAGGGATTTTCACGCCCTCTACACATTTAAGAACTCTTTGAACAAATATTAATTAAGTTCGTAGGTGCAAGTTGAAAGACAAAATGTTTGTCGCTATCCTTGAATCCCTCGTTTCTATTCTGCAGAACCTATCTTTTTCATTTATTGACAATTTGCTCTCATCCTGAATACGCATACATATTTGCAACTGGACATGACGGAAACAACAATCAATCAATCTGAATTCACCTTGTTTCGAATACAACGGCTGGTTCCTTTTTTTTGGACATAAAATGTTTATTTTTTAGACGATCTGAGTTCATCTTTCTCTTTTATTATATGAGTGTCACCCAGAAATTATTGTTTTCAATCTTATTTTGAGCATTGTGGTTTGTATTTCGTCTCATGACCCTCTGTCTACAGGTCTTTGTCGATCCGTTTTTCAACTTTTGATTATTATTATATCGTTTCACTAGTGTTTTTATATTATTTTCTCTGTCAGAAATGCAATAATAATAATAGATTATTTGTCTTACCACGAAGAACTGTAGTAATACATGTAACACTCTATCAAACAGTAGTTTTTGCAATTAAAACCAGGTGTCCTATTTCCATCTGTTTACAAACTTACAAAAATACTGTCATCAGGATACATGTTTTAGATTTTTCCATTTGAACCTAGGTTATCTTGGACAAATTAGCAAGTATTGTATTACAGAGACGATGAAAACTAATTTTAGAATTGATTATATAACATATAAAAATGATAATAAGTTAAAAAGAAAAAGAATCTGGTACTCTGAAATTACAAAAACTTTGAAATGAGTCTGTAAAAATTAGAGGTTTCTTATAAATATGATTAATATCTAAGAGCTTAGTAAACATGTTAAATGCAATATTCTATTTTAAACTGTAAAGTCTTCTTGTTATAAATATAAAAATGTATTTGCTATAAATACATATGATTACAAAGAATAGAATAAACTGTCTGTTATAAATATATATATATATTATACACATTTATCTCTATTTTTAGTTCCTACAATTAACACATTAAATTTCATTTAACAGTTGAATCTGCTTTGAATCAATTGGAAATTAGGTCATCCATTGCAATTATTAAAATAAGTAAGAATCGAGTACAAGGAAACAGTATAACATGTAAGCATTATAGGTAAAATGAAGTTTTAACGAAGAATACAACACACACTGGACACAGACAAACAATACACAACGCAAAACACATCATTGTGAATATATATACATCATTTACAATAAAATATCGAAATTTCTTACCTGCATAATGTAACTTAGCGAATGCATAAAAAAGGAACAAGCCAAACAAAGACAATAATGCAAATAAGCTTTTAAACAATGGTAATAGAATAGTTCAAGGTACATTTGGTTATTTTACCTTTAAGTGTAAGCATGTTTAGTACGACACACAGTTAGATAAAAAAAAAGAAAAATACTATGACTGATATCGTTTGATAATATCAAATCTATATGCTAAAATATTGGTTGTTTTTGTTGTTGTTGAGAAGAACATATTTCCTTTGCTTTATCAAATATAACATACTGAGTTTCAACCCTAGTATTGTATGTGTGTGTGTGTTTATCACAGTGTCCATTTCTGTGAAACAAATAGTCATGGTACATGTTGTAAACAACTGATTTATTAAAATCACAAACAAGTATTACCAATACTTACCTCTGTCACAGAACTGTCCGGTCAATCCAGTTACACATCCTTTGATACAGGCACCTGTATGTATATCACATTTGTTTTTTAAACAGTTCTGAGGATCACAACCCCAAACACAGGAACCGTTTCCAGGATAACAGTGTTGGTCTATACATTTAGGTGGACATGCATCTGAACAGTTTGTTCCCCATGTACCTTGAAAGCATCCTACAAATATAACGTTGAAATAAACGGTTTTCTATGAATTTCCTATCTTATGGAAGCTTTCGATACGTTTATGGGATATTTACTTCTATTTGATCAAAACTATTGATGTGTGTGTTCGTAACGATGGGGAATAGGAAACAACCCCCAGATAAAAGTATGAACCAACCGTTCGAATAACTAGCAGACATTTACATTTAGACAAAGACAATGAAAAAACGCAGGATTGCAGCAAATATTGCGATGGGTTATAAATCATACTTCAGAGGCATTTTAGGTCATTATTGTGATCTGAGGTCATCCATCAGAAAGATTCATGACTTGGTTGAACTTTATGGAATATCTTTCTCTCAAATGACCTAAGACATGGTCCACGTGTTGTAACAACTATCCTATTTCCATCGATTGTAACAATACTGATCGCAAGTAATGGCCGAAACTTTTTCTTTAAATGAGTAACAGGGAATATTAGTGGAACAAAAACTGCAAAGCTTTCCGGAGCAACTAAATTTGTCTTCGGTTTTTGGAGGTTTGTGTTGATAAATCTTTAGTTTTCTGTGTTATGAGAACAGATGCGTGTCTTTTTGTCAATTGTCTTTTTAACCACACAAGTTTATTGCACTTATTGTCTTTAATTGTTCCCTTGAAATCTTTCCCTTCTTTTTATATACAAAACGTTGGGTACATGGATACGTCAATAAGATAACAACTGAAGTCACATAACAAATAAATGAAAGTTAACATGTATTATAGAGGACAAAATAACTAATTCTGTACTGAAGAACAGTTTGAACAATATGCCCAGCTTTAAATTGATCAAATCTAAACAAAAAATTACTTTCAAAACAAAAGCTCTTATTTACAAAAACACTAATATATAACAGAAGACAACTCGGACGAGGTCTAGACTTACAAAAACAGTAGGAAAGAGTCATTATGGCGTGATTAGATATTTATTTTAAACCTCATCCTTCCCCTTTTTTAATATTTCCTCAATACAACCGTACTTTCAAATAACTTCAGAGCATAATGTCATATAAAAATAATGTATAGAATTTCAAAGCACAGAATAAATTTAAGGAATTACTTTAGTCTGGCTTCAAACAATACGGTATTATGTATCCAAAAGAAACATGGTCTGGCGTAGTTCTTAAAGAGTAGACTGAAAATAATTATTCTCGCTGTATTGAAGACCCATTGGTGGCCTTGGGCTGTGTTCTGCTCTTTGGTCGGGTTGTTGTCTCTTTGAAACATTCTCCGTTTCCATACTCAATTTTATCTTATAATGTGCATCAGTAAATTGAGCTGTTTTCAACTTTCGGCTCGATCGGTTTTATATTGTTTGAGATTTGAATATTGAAAATTACTATCAATTGTATTGTAAATTATGTATATCTTTTTGATTCTGTAAATTATTGTCACATTTATTTGTCACACTCACTGATCTGTTGTGATTTCTAGAAAGATAGTACGTTGCCTATAAGTATATCAAGTTTGTGGGCTTCATAAATAATATCACTGTAATACGATAAATATGTATAAAAAACACTTCGTATTAGGTGCTATAGAACGTGCAAGTGGAAATGCATCTTCAAGTAAACTTCATATTTGTGATTAAATGTAGCACAGTGACGATTCTGTTATTCTTGCATAGTTTGCTAAGTAATGAAAACTGTGTGTTTATTCTAACCAGAGACGTCACTTCAATAAACAGACTGAAGAATATTTACTTAATGAGGAGGAGCCAACTGACAACCCAAACCAAACACATAAACCTGTACATTTAAACAGGTAACGTTGTGCTACTTGTCTTACCTTTTGGTGTTGAATTTACTTTGTCAGTTTTATAATTAGGGTCCTAAAAGGCATATGATTACTGTGAGTAGTAAATGCATTAAGAATGACTTGAATTGATAAACAACCATTAGTATGTGCAGAAAAAAAAGGATTGTAAACAGATAGTATGTCTAGGAAAACTATTGATCTTTCTTTGTGACCATATGAAGGTAAGTATCAAACTATGCTTCATAAATTCATAAAATAATGTAAAAAAAAAATCAATCTGTAATAACAAAGTTACAGTAGCTACCCATCGAATTGCCAATCGTCATTGGAAGATTTGGTTTTTCTCTCTCCAAAACAAATATAAATTTCAATCATACGAATAATGTTATGCATGTAAAAAAATTATTGTACAATTTCTTTGTTACTGTATATGAAAAAAATAACGACAACGGCTGAAACAGTAAGAACAAAGTTAAACGATAACCCATTTATAATAAAATAAGAAAACAAAGTCTACTAGATAAATCATAACTTTGAAAGTACTCAAACTAAAGTTCAGTTGAAAACAGCTTATCTTTACCTCCAAAAAGTGTTAACACTACATAAATAACCAGTAAAGGTATTAACATAATCTTTTTCACAATATTTGATATCGATATAAAAATAAAGGGAATGTGGTATAATTGCCAACGAGACAACTATCCACCTAAGTTCAATTGACGTTATTTGTCACAAACAATGTGAAACCTTCGAATTCTTTAACTGTTGTAACTGCACTCCTCTCAAGAAATGAACCCACTTTATTAAATGTACATTAATTGATACAGATTTTTTGCTGTTTTTCTAATTTTGTTTTAATTTAGTTCCCTTTTTGTTTTATTGGACTTTTTATAGCTTAATCTATAGTAAACATGTATATTTTGTTGAGTGTTGAAGGTCGTATGCTGACCTGTCACTGTGCGTTTATTTGTCCTCTATTGTCTCCGTGGCAATCATAACACATCTCCTTTTTTATGAAACCAAATATTGTAAAGAACGTTAAATTCGAATTCAGTTTAAACATATTTTATTTGCTAAATTAAAGCAAAATGGATTAGACACAAGTAAATTATATTTATGAAGTCTTCTCCATAATACAATATAAATAAACACAATAATAGAATAATGAGCATGCATGTAAAGCAAACAGTTTATAGAATATAATACGAGCTATCTTAGGTATAAAAAAGAAGAGAGAGAGAAAAAAAAGAAAGAAAGTTTGAAAAGTCATATAATTCTGTGATGATGACGTGAGTGTTGATGATGATGTCGATGATGATGATGTTACGTGTCAGTATCAATAACGCTCTCTGAAGGTACAAGAAATCTGTTTGACCTTTTGATGAATATTTTAACATGTTTGAAAATTTGAATATTTTGTTCGTTAGAAAGTTCCAAGTTTCCGCAAATTAATAGTTTACTATCTAAAACAAAGTTTTCAGAAAACCAGTTAAGATTATTGAGTAAGGTTTTTCTTCATGAAGTGTGTTTTAGACAAACGAAGAAAGTATGATGAACATCCTCAATATTTGACCCTGGTAAGAAGGATCATTTATAATGTTAGCTCGAAAAAGGTCATAGTTTAAGAATAAAGCGGAGCATCGCAATTGCGTTAAGATATTATTCAATTTCCTCCGGCCGTACAAATAAAACGTTTTAACTTTACTAAGTAGACTATCGTTTTTCCTTTCTTTCTTAAATTTAGAAATAGTGTCGACGCTGCGAATTTTAGGATCAAGTTTATTCCACTCACGTATTGTTGAGGGAATAAACGATTCAGTAGTAAGGGAAAGTCTACAAAATGGAACAATAATATCATGACCATTTCGCAACGGATAGTTTGTAGTACTTTGTACACATGGAGGTACAAGATTACATAGGTACTCTGGTGCATGTTTTTGGTTCATGTTATAAAACATCTGTAATTTTTTTCTCCTTCTTCTTTCAAAAAGCGATTCCCTGCAAACCTCAGAGGGTTGCAGTTTGAGTGAATATTGGTAGACCGGTTACAATTCTTGCGTCCTCTAATTGCAAATTTTCTAATTTATGTGAATAGCATATTTCACAATTATCCCACACTTCCGTTGCATATTAAAAAATGGGTCGAATAAAAACTAAGTACAGTTTTTTCTAAATTGTTTCGAGATAGTCGGTATTTAAGTTTACGCAAAACATTTAAGTGTTTCTTTACACTTGTAATTATACTTTCAATATGATTGTTCCATTTTGCGTCACAACTGAAATTAACTCCCAGGGTTTGTGAGATGTACTTCAAGGGATATGTTTGCCATTTTAGGAAAAGCTGAGGTCTGGAGTCTCAATATTTGAGAAAATCATAATGTCGGTTTTATCAGGGTTAAAGGACATAAGCCATTTGGAAGACCAAACATCCAGCTCTTTCAGGTCGCGATCGATAACAGATCTCATATGTTCTCCGTCGTTACCAGAATAACTGAATGATGTGTCATCAGCAAATAGCCGACACAGTGGCGTAAGCTGCAATATCATTAATATATAAGACAAAGAGAAGAGGGCTCAGAACTGATCCCTGGGGAACACCAGCTGAACCTTACAAAAGGAAGAAGACGAATTATGCAATACTACACTCTGTTTTCTATGTAGATAATATTGAAACCAATTCAATAAGCTTCCGTTCATACCCTAAGCTTTCATTTTGCATATAAGGCCAACATGTATATGCCAAACTTTGTCGAAAGATTTAGAGAAGTTACAGAGTACAAAACAATGTGTTTCTTTTTTTGCCAAAGAGTTTAATATGCAATTATATATTTCTAAGAGTTGATGGACAGTTTTAATTTTTAGAAAAGAAATTTTGATTGATATCCACAAATTTATTTATCAGCATGTAAATGATTGTACAAGTGCTAAAATACAACTCTTTCCATAACTTTTCCTACACAACTAATTAAAGATATCGGTCTGTAATTTGAAGGCAAAAATAAATCTCCCTTTTTGAAAATAGGAATTATATTTGCTATCTTCCATCTAGTTGGATATATGCCCTCTCGTTAGGATTCAAATGAACATAGTTACATATTTGAAGCTATAAATTACAATGTGCAAAAAATAATACGTAACTCACCATTGATAGCAACGTAGCATAGTTCAACAATAGGCGGGAATACGTTATTTCCTTCATCAGTTCCTTTATCATCGTAATAAATGACATATTTTCCAAGTTGATAACAAGAAATAGTCTGTGTGATGCTTGGAAGAGGAGACGGATAAGGGTCTTTATAACAGAGATAACCATTAGATGGAATAAATGATGTGTTGGTCACATACACTTGAAATCCATTCATTCGATAAGCATCTAAAATAAAAGTTTACGATTTTATTTCATGATGTATGCCTTTACAACATAATTCAATATTTGGTCCGTAATTTTGTTAGAATAAAAATAATTCTTTTATGCCATGCTCTACGCTCATTTTAACATGGGTAGGCATTATATTTATCAATATCTTCATACCAATGGTTATCGAGATGCAAAATTTTGACAAATATAATTCCTACCCATGTTGAAATGAGAATAGATAATAGTATCGTGTTTGTTCGAACAGGAAACATCAGGACTGTTATACTTCGAAGTGAACCTATAAGACACCAACAGAGATGTCCATTTTGATCTCAGGCGTTGTTTGAAATACAACTGACGTAACAATGGTAGTTGTGACGTCATACACGCGCATTGATTGATTGAAATTAGAACCACGCTTTGTTTATAAGGCAAAGGAAGGGTATATTATTATCATCCTATACTCACAAAACAGAGATAATCTGAAAATATGTGAACCTAAAAGCAGTGACCGATTTTATATTCTATTTCAACAGTATAATAATTATGGATGGTTTTTTTTTTACCTTTGTAACAGATTATTAACATTTAGTACAAGAATATTTATAATTCACAATAGGAAATACAGACGCAATCACCATATAACATAAACATAAGACAGATAGGTCAATTGAAGAGAAATGTCGTAATCTTAAAAAAAAATTATGACATTTATAAAAGTTAAAATTAATTACTTAATCATGTTAGTCGTTCGAAACTTTAAAGGAAACATCTACATAATCCCTATGTAAATAAATGACAATACAGCAAACAATGCTTAAATAACACTAATAAATGCAATTTAGTCTTAATGGTCATTTTGATCTCAACAGTATCTGTATAGTCTGAACAATAGAAACATCCAGTCATGTTCAATCTTTCTGTCAATTTTCAGACTAACCAAATGCAGTAAATTCTTTACTGTTCATACAATTTCCTTGCAGTCAATTAAGTACTGCATATTATAATTCAGTATGATATTTGTGTGAACAGGTAAAAAAGTAGTAACAACTGAACAATCTGAACATAGACTGAACAGATCTTTATTGGCTGCAAGTGAAATATCTGAAAAGTACTGAATTTTCCGCTATGGATAAGTCTTAAAATTGACTGAAAGACTCAAAATGACTTAATAATTTATTGTTCGGTCTTTTGAGAGCTGTTCAAATCAAAATATAAAAATATGAAGATGTAGTATGATACCAATGAGACAATTCTCCAACAGCGAACAAATGACATAGAAGATATTAACTACAGGTCACCGTACGGGCTTTTGACAATGAGCAACCTATACCTCATAGTCAGCTACAAAAGGCCCCGAAATAACAATGTGTCGGGGTTTGAATGCGCAAATGTTTCCCTAACCGGGACAGTGGTGTAATAACACAACACAAGAACAAATTATGCAAAACAACAAACGAAAAACAAATAAGAGAAACAGCAAAAAACGAAAACCACTGAAATAGAGGCTCCTGACTTCGGACAGGCACATATAGAATGTGACCGTGTTTGTTGTCGCCAAACCATCCCCCTAAACTGGGATACTGGTGTAATGTACAACATGAGAACAAACTATTAAAATCAGTTGAAAAAGGCCTAACTCATCATGTTTATACAAAGCAGAAAGGCATCTAACAAAAACATAGACCGGACGTGGCAGGTTATATATACATCCCCACAACGAAAAAGACACTAAGTACAGATCTAAGAGTACTCGCTGTTACTTACATCTAGTTCAAAGTCAATGACAACTGATAAAAAATCATGCAAATAAGACTAAAATATCAACCAGTACACATCAAACATTCAATGGATTAAGTGTAAAGACGTCATTAACAGTCAGAGAAAAACATGACATTTGCAAGATACAGGTAGCGACAGATTGTAGAGGCATGAATGTGCATATGTATATAAAAAATAACAATTAGTTTGATTTTCAATTACTGATAACAAAATCAATATTAATACCAATAAAACAATAATCAAGGATCTAATTACAGTGTTGAATTGATAACCTTTTAGAATAATAGAATTGAGAATGAAAATGAGGAATGTGTCAAAGAAACCACAACCCGACCAAAGAGCAGAAAACAGCCCAAGGCCACCAATGGGTCAGCAACATAGCGAGAAAATCCCTCACCTGGAGGCGGGCTTCAGCTGGCCCCTATACAAAAATGTGTACTAGTTCAGTGAAAATGGACGTCACACTAAACTCCGAAACATATTAATGAGCTAAAATTAAAACTGATAAAAAATCATGCAAATAAGACTAAAATATCAACCAGTACACATCAAACATTCAATGGATTAAGTGTAAAGACGTCATTAACAGTCAGAGAAAAACATGACATTTGCAAGATACAGGTAGCGACAGATTGTAGAGGCATGAATGTGCATATGTATATAAAAATAATAATTAGTTTGATTTTCAATTACTGATAACAAAATCAATATTAATACCAATAAAACAATAATCAAGGATCTAATTACAGTGTTGAATTGATAACCTTTTAGAATAATAGAATTGAGAATGAAAATGAGGAATGTGTCAAAGAAACCACAACCCGACCAAAGAGCAGAAAACAGCCCAAGGCCACCAATGGGTCAGCAACATAGCGAGAAAATCCCTCACCTGGAGGCGGGCTTCAGCTGGCCCCTATACAAAAATGTGTACTAGTTCAGTGAAAATGGACGTCACACTAAACTCCGAAACATATTAATGAGCTAAAATTAAAACTGATAAAAAATCATGCAAATAAGACTAAAATATCAACCAGTACACATCAAACATTGAATGGATTAAGTGTAAAGACGTCATTAACAGTCAGAGAAAAACATGACATTTGCAAGATACAGGTAGCGACAGATTGTAGAGGCATGAATGTGCATATGTATATAAAAATAATAATTAGTTTGATTTTCAATTACTGATAACAAAATCAATATTAATACCAATAAAACAATAATCAAGGATATAATTACAGTGTTGAATTGATAACCTTTTAGAATAATGGAATTGAGAATGAAAATGAGGAATGTGTCAAAGAAACAACAACCCGACCAAAGAGCAGAAAACAGCCCAAGGCCACCAATGGGTCAGCAACATAGCGAGAAAATCCCTCACCTGGAGGCGGGCTTCAGCTGGCCCCTATACAAAAATGTGTACTAGTTCAGTGAAAATGGACGTCACACTAAACTCCGAAACAATTTAATGAGCTAAAATTAAAAAAAAAAAACATACAAGTCTAACAAAGGCCAGAGACTCCTGGCTTGTGACAGGCGCAAAAATGCGGCGGGGTTAAACATTGTCAATGTAAAATAAAAAAAAAAACACACAGCAATACGCATATCCAAAACTCAGTTAAAAAGAAGTCCGAGTACGATGTCAGAATAGGTAACAAAGGTAACTAAGCAAAATGACAATGATACATAAATAAACAAAGGACTACTAGCAGTTACTGACATGCCAGCTCCAAACCTCAATTTAACGGATTGAAATATTATGTCTTCATCAAATGAAAATCAAGCACAATCCCTCCCGTTAGGGGTTCAGTATTATACCATCATAAAACACATGAAAAGAACATTACATTTATCATGCCAACAACTAGTTTTAGAATAAATAGAATAAATGTGTTTATTTCATATGCAAAGACCCTATGAGTGAATCAATATTAATTCCAAAATATGCCATCTTTGATGACCTGACAACAGTATCGTAACTATATGCCTTCTGTATAAGTCTGTTGATTTGTATTTACGAATGATGTCCTTCTACCGATGATAAAATTTAGTAAATATTTTCACTAGTTTAAGATATCGAAAACCCTGGTGTAATAATTTTTCAGTAACACAGATATGCCTTTATTGACAGGTTTTTGGTAGTCTCTGTTACGTTTATTTCCAACCTATGTCGACACAAATGACATACATATTTGCAACTGTTTATTCCTGAAGAATTTGTACTATATTGATTTCTAATTTTCTTTTCCTCTATTGTATCACGTCCTCATATACGCAAAAAAATACTTGGTGTTTAAACGATTTGCACTCACAAGCGCCTTTATATCACAAAGCTACAAACACAAAAAATGCCTTGTTTTCCGCACAAATGATACATTTTTTTTTTAATTTATGGAGACATCGCTTTTTTTAAATTTACACTTAGCGTGTATGAATTGCAAGTATGAATAAAAAGTTAGACATCAGGGACGAAATCATTTACATTCGAAATCAGTACGATTGTTAAGTTCCTTCTTCATAGGTATAACCCATAGTACTGTGTTGCATTTGAGATAAAATACTTGAAGGTGAAATGCAAGATTTCGGATATGTTTTTTAAGATACTTGTTTAATTCATATAAGCCAATATCGCATTTTTTTTTACGAAGTATATCAAAGTAAAGATACGTGAATAGGAAGTGTAGGATATTTAGGGTTTCGTCAAATTAGTTCTCGCTATATCATTGACTGACATAATGAACAAGAAAAAAAAGTTTATAAGTTTTCTCTATATTATATTGTTATATCTGTAATGTAGGCTGGTATTTTATTAGTTGTCCAGCTGAATGTACATATAGACAAATTATATTCATTTGATATTGGTGGTTTTACAGCATTATCTGCTTTACCATTACTACCAAATATTGGCTCTTGTGTGGCGTTTCCATATGGTGTAAGGTTCTCTGTAAAATAAGAACAGGTACTTAAAATAGCCATAAAAATACTCCCATTTATATGTTAAAATCGGAAAAGCTTGACTTTCTATAATTTTCCGGAACATCATTTCATAAAAAAAAAACACGTTTTCCTCCTCACTATCATCACGATACTGTCTGAATAGAGTATTTGAAAACAAAATCTTAAACTACTTTTTCCCATATTATATAATTCATGAATGATTTACCCACCTCAAGACACCAGGTGCGAAAATAACATTTTTTTGTCTATAATTGAA